CTAAAATGCAATGTTGTTATCCCTCCAAAATGGTGAACTGAAATATTAGGTTTATCCTATCTTCACTAAAAGTTTAATGCTCAAATTACCTTAAGTGCAGACATTTTATTGAATGTCAGCAGCATTCACTATCATGACAACTTTGAAATTAATACATTGTGACACTCTAGGAGCTACCATTGGAAAATGTCTTTTGGCTCTTTCTGTCTATTTCTTCTGTTCATGCCAAATTGCCAGCATTGTCTTCAGAAGTCTGAGGATCCCTCTCCGTGGAAGTGCTCTCTTTAGGTTAGCTCTTGGTCCCAAGGTCATCACAGAGTCTGCCCTGGTAAAGGTCAGCCAGCTTTGTGAATCACATCACTTTGTCCTAAACTCATGCTGTTTCTCTCTCTTGACTGTGTAGATGTTTGGGTCCCACCTTATTCTCTCCTGCTTTGCATGGCTGGAGAGATGAGGTTTCCCTCCATACGTTAGACATTTTTACTTCGAGTGTGTGCTCGGTACATATTCCAGCTCCTCTTTTCTTTCCTCTAATGCAATGGTTCTCAACCAGGGATGACTTTGCCCCCAGGGGACACATGGCAATGTCAGGAGATGTTTTGGTAGTCAGAACGAGGGTTGGTGCTTCTGGCATCTGCCAAGTAGAGGCCAGGGCTAACATCCTACAATGCACAGGACAGGCCCTACAGCAAAGAATTAGCTGAAAAATGTCAGTTGTGCCAAAGTTGAGAAACTGTGGACCCATGAAATGCCCCACACTAGTCAGAATAAAAGGTCGAGTCCCAGGGTCCCCGCTGCCCCTGCATTGCCTGCTGCGTGCACTTGCTCACGTGGTACGGAATTTCTGTCATATGCCTCTGATTTTCCGTCCACCGCAATTCTTGCCTAGAAATTTCCTTCCCGTTAGATGTTGGTATTTCATGAGTACTTCTTAGTCTAATTGTTTTTCCGCTTGAAGTTGTCTACTTTCATTCTATGGGGTCCCTTTTTCTAACTCTGTTAATGAAAACAAACTCTCGTTTACAAAATGTATTATTTCTTGCTAACTGTGTGACCCTGGACATGTTATTTAGCTTCCCTTTGCTGCACCAGTTTCCTCATCCGAAATACACAGATCTACTACTATTTCGTACAGACATGACAGTGTTAAAGGAGCTAATATATGTGAACTGCTTAGAACTATGCCTGTCATACAGTAAGTACCTATAGAAGATAGATTTTTCAACATTAACAAACTGTTGATTATGGGTATATCCACAAAATATAAAGCACATTCTAAGCCATTCTTGTTAGAAATGCTTTCCGTGTTTAATTTCTTTCAGTCCATGAATCAACCAGCATTGGAAATATTCATATTAGAAGGAAATCTGAAAGGTGTCAGACCATAAGTGCAGACTTTGATTTTCAGCTTAGTCCCCTCCCTCTCCTAACTCTTCCTTCTGATCAGAGTTTTCTCCTGGCTTTCTCGGGGCTTCATGCAGGTAGAACGTCAAGGCAGGAAGGTCCTTCATTGCTCTTCTCATTGAAATGACCACTCTCCATTCATGAACACGTAGGGTAAGACTGAAACTAGGAAATAAATCCTAAGCTAAATGGAGGAGGAGGAGGGAGATCCGTGACTCTCAAGTTTCTGCCATTAAATGCGTGGGGCTGATTTAGCAGCTAAGAACACAGACCTTAGTATTTTAGGATCTCCTATCTGAAAGGAACCTTAGAGATAATTCAGTCACCGTCATCTGCATCTCATATAAAACCTCCATTTTATCAGAGAGGCAATTTAGACCCAGAACCTAAAATTTAAAAAATACTAAATAATAGCAGAGCTAGAACAAGAGAGCAGAGCTAGGACAGGGTCTTCTAACCCTCCCTTGTAACCGCAGGTCCTTCTCTCCACCTCATTTTTCTAAACAGCCTTTTCTTGCTGCTGTAATGTGGTCATGTTTCATTGCTGTCTGTTCTTCCCGTCGTGAACTTTAAATGTTGATCATTCGCTACCACGTTTTCATGTGCTACTATTTTAATCAATATTCCTGTATTAATATGGCCAGAACCAGTGTTCTGTGTCTTAAGTAAATGATACCACTGTTTACCTAAGTGCTCAGGCCTACGACCTTGACATCACCCTTGATTCTCCACGTTCTTTCTACCCCTACATCCAAATCGTGAGCGAATCCTGGGTCATTCTTACCTTCAAAACACATGCCAGTTTCTACCTCTTCTCACTGCCTCTGACATAGCCACTCTGGCCCTGCTGGTCCAGCAGAACTTTCTGTGAGGATGGAAATGTTTTATATGTGTGCAGACCAATATAGTAGCCACTAGCCACATGTGGCTATCGAGCAGCTGAAAGGTGTGGCTGAGGAACAGAATGCTTTATAACAGCTTTATTGAGATATAATTATACACATATAATAAACCCTTTTAAAGTGTACAATTCTGTGTTTTTTGTTTTTTGGTTTTTTTTTTCCTTTTTGTCTTTTTTCGTGTCCGGCAACGGATCGCAACCCTCAGTGTCGCGCCCTCACCGGACCGGGACCAGCAACGGGATCGCAACCCTCGGTGCCGCGCCCGCACCTCGCTCAGCCAGTGAGCGGGAACCGGTCTGTATGTGGGATCCGAACCCTCGGCGGGAGCGCCGCCACGCTCCCAAGCGGCGCACTGTAGCAGTGCGCCACTGGGCCGGCCCCAATTCTGTGTTTTTTAATATATTCTCAGAACTGTACAGCCGTGACCACAATCGATTATAGAACATTTTCATCGCCCTCAAAAGAAACGTATACCCATGAGCAGTTGCTCCCTTTTTCCCCCAAACATACCCAGCCCGTGGCAGCCATTGGTCTGCATTCTGTCTCAGTTGATTTGCCTATTCTGGACGTTTCATAAAATAGAATCATATAGTTTGTGGCCTTTTGTGTCTGGGTTCTTTCACCTAACATAAAGTTTTCAAGGTTCATCCATGCCGTAACATGTATCAGTACTTCATTCCTTTTTATTGCCTAATAATATTCTCTTGTATTGATATACCACATTTTATTTGTCCATTCACCAGTTGATGGACATTTGGGTTATGAACAGGCTATTAAGAATAACAAATAATGCTATTCATTATTTTAGGCTGTTGTCAATAATTATGAATAGTGCTGCTATGAACATTCATGTATAAGTTCTGTGTGTTTCATTCGTGTGTTTTCATTCTCTTGGGTGTACACCTAGGACTGGAATTGCGGGGTCATATGATGCATATACATAACCTTTTGAGGAACTGCCTGACAGTTTTACAAAGTGTCTGCAGCATTCCACCTACCCACCAGCAGTGTACGAAGGTTCTAATTTCTCCACATCCTCATCAACTCTTGTTACTTTTTGTCTTTTTCACTATAGCCACCCAAGTGTGTATTAAGTGATGTCTCATTGTGGTTTTGATTTTGTATTCCCTTGATTGCTAGTGGTATTGAGCTTTTCTTCATGCAGTTATTGGGCATTTGTATATCTTCTTTGCAAAAATGTCTATTTATATCCTTTGCTCATTTTTAAGTGGGGATATTTGTCATTTTATTGTTGAGTTCTAAGTGCTCCTCATTTTTCTGGATACAAGTTCCTTATCAGATATATAATTTACAAATATTTTCTCAGTTCTTCGGGTTTTCTTTTCACTTTCTTGATGGTGTCCTTTAAAGCACAAAGTTTCTAATTTTGATAAAGTCCAATTTATCTATTTTTTTGGTACTGTGTTTTTGGTGTCATATTTCAGAAGTCATTGCCAAATTCAAAGCCATAAAGATTAGCTCCTATGTTTTATCTTGAGTTTTATAATTTTAGTTTTGTGATCCATATTTGTTAATTTTCTATTGCGTTACAATATACATAACAGAAACTTTGCCATTTTAACCCTTTTAAGCATATAATTCAGAGGTATTAATTACATTCAGAGTGTTGTGCAACCATCACCATTATGTATTTTCAAAAATTTTTCATCATCCCTTACAAACTCTGTACCCGTTAATCAATAACTCCCTCATTCTCCCCCTCGTCCCTAGCCCTTGATAGGAACTGATTTTTTTTATTGTATTTTATTTTAATTTAATTAATCTAAATGTAAACAGCAAAATGCAGCTTGTGGCTATCGTATGGGACCGCACAGCTTTACGGCTACCAGTGTCTCCCTCCAGGACAGATTGCTACAGTCATTTCCAAGCTGGCATTGCATTTATTATTATGTCGTTCTTGGTCATCCATCATCTATTTTCCCATAAAAGCTGCACTTTTCCTGTAAGAGTGTAACCCATACCAGGTCTAGCTGACATGAATTAGACAATTCTGTGAGTGTTCTGCCTTAGCGGCTGCTATATACCTTATAATAGTCATCCTTAAAAAGAAAAAATAAAGGACAATAACAAATGGAAGCTTCACAATCCCAGTTGTATTTTCTAAACATCGCTCATTGGATTGCTTGCATTCCCCTGGTATATAGAATCCAGAGGTTCATGTGGTTGCAAGTGAGAATATGAGTTATGAATGTCCCCCAAATTCCTTCAGAGCTCAGTCATTAAAAATTTATTGTGTATTCACGTAGGTTTCTTCTCATTTCCCCATGATTCCAATTTAGCAAAAATTAAAGATGAACAGTAAATAAACACCTGGACAAAGGTCCAATGCTGGCATTTGAGCTAGATTACTTTGTTCTTATTCCTTTCATTTTTTTTTTTTAACCAGAAAAAGAGATTTTACTCTTTATAAAAATGTAAATTTCAAAGCACATCAAGTATTTGGCTGTTTGGTTTGTTGAAAGTTTGATTTTCTTTGCTTCATTTGGATAGAATAGAAGATAAAAAAATTCAGAGTTCGAAAAAGAAGGAGGCATTAGAATCACAGACGATGCGGTTTTGAAATGCTCTTAACATTTTGGTAGCTGTTTCTAAAGTTTCATTTTTATGTTTTGAATGGAATAGATCGTCGCATTCAGCTTCTCGGAAGTTAACGGTAACTTCTTCCTTTTTCAGATACTCCGTTGGCCAGCGGTCATGCCACAGACTATTTATTTGTTGGAAATATTGTTTACACGGTAAGCTTATCTTTGTTCATTGGGCCATTCTTACATGGAATGCATGTGCGTTATACTTCTCTAAACCCTTTATGTAAAGTCTATTACTATTATTTATTTCAAATCTTGAAACGATATATTATAGATTCTTTAAAGTTCAGAATGGTTGTGAATGCAGAATCAAGGTTTCTGGATGGATGATTAGCAGATTGCCCTGTTCTTCAAATGATCGTTTCACATCTACCTGTAAAAGAAAACCACACTCAACAAAGTGATTTCTCCCAAATTGTCCAGGCTAAGAAAGGAACTAAACTACCATTTGTGAGAAGACAATCACTAGAATGAGGGAATTTCTTGAAGTGAAGCTTCCTGAATGTTCCCTAAAAATAACCCCTAGAGAGTTTGCTACAACGATGGCCCTTTCAAAGCATGACAGTCTTGCAGGAGCCAGCTCTGGAGGGGAGACGTGGGAAATGAAAATAACTCACTGAGGATAATATGGTTTTCCAAACTCCTCTTTCTTTTCACAGTATGTTGTTGTTACTGTTTGTCTGAAAGCTGGTTTGGAGACTACAGCTTGGACTAAAGTAAGTTTTCTCTAGAATTGTTTTTTTTATAAGATATTTTTTATGCCAATTTTTCCTTTTAAGTCTTGGGAAAACATTGAATATATAGCTATCTTATTTTAAATTGTACATGTAAAAATTGTGGTTTGATCTTTATCAGGGAAAAAATTTGCAACCCAAAGTTTCCTGGTGATTCAGTTGCTTAGCATCTAATACAGCTCTAAGCTGTTAACAGTCATCTCATTTCAAATGTACTTGCTTCATATTAAAAAAAAGTAAAGATATATATACACACACATACAAATGTACATACATACTGTGTTAGTCCATTTCTGTTGCTTATAACAAAATACATGGAACTGGGTATTGTATAAAGAAAACCAAATTTACTGCTTGTAGTTTTGGAGGCTAGGAAGTCTAAAGTCCAGGGAGCACATCCGGTGAGGGTCTTGGTGGTGGCAACAGTGACGCAGGGTATCACATTGTCAAATGGTGGAGCAGAGAGAGAGCTAACCTCATTCACTCTCTTTTTTAAAGCCCTCAGAACCACACCCCTGACCACCATTTTTAATCCATTCATTACTGCACGGTCGTACGACCCAATCACTTCTTCAAGGCTCCACGTTTCAATTACCATAATAGGGTTTCCCACCTTCTTAACAGTCACAGTGGGGGCTAAGTTTCTAATAGGTAAAACTTGGAGGACACAATTCAAGCTTCAGTGTTTGCAGGAGGATGCTCGCACTGGGAGACGGAACCGGGGGGTGGAAGGAGAAGAGTTGTGGGTCAGGGCTTCTGCCGGTGCTCTTGCCCCAGGACTAGTGTTTTCGGGGCAGGCCTGTGCAGGGCACACCTGGCTGCTATCTCTGCCTCAGTCCGCAGGAATGAACAGAAATTCCTGGGTCTACCTAAGTCAAGATGCATGTCCAGCAGCTGTCTCACATGAGACTGCCCAGGGTGGCATTGCTGGCCGTTTCACCCAGTGAGTCAGTCAGCCAACACCCCAGGGTGTCGGGACCTCTGGTGAGCGTGGGTGCTGTGCTGAGCAGGCCGGACCTGCCCTCCAGGAGTGGGCTTGTGTGTCCTCTAATGCACCTTTGCTTTCTGTAAGGAAGGGACAGGCACATAATACGCCGTTCAGTGCTTTTCCACATCCAGGCAGTAGAGGAAGTTACTTGAATTCATTATTAAACATTCTGAGACAAGGAAAATAGAAAGACTGACCTCTCCAGTAACTGGGGAGTCATCATAGTCTCTCCGTAAGGAACAGTAGCCTGGACCAAGGGATTCCACAGCAGCGGGAGTTCATGTGGATCTCCTGGGCAATCCAAACCTCCTCTGAGCCTCTGTTTTCTTTGCAGTTCAGTCATCTGGCTGTCTGGGGAAGCATGGTGATCTGGTTGGTATTCTTCAGCCTCTACTCAACTATCTGGCCCACCATCCCCATCGCTCCAGATATGAAAGGACAGGTTAGTTCTCCTGGTTGTGAGTATGCCTTCCATGTCTCATGACAGCAGTGTGGCTCCACGTGTGGGTGAGTGGGTTTTCTGTGTCTCATAACAATGATGAACACTGAGTGAACCCAGGAGATTGTCCTGTACCAAAATGAACATTTCCCAACCAAGACACTTAGGGATTTTAAGGAAATCATTTCTATTGTAAAGCAATGTGATTTGTCCCCACAAAACAAAGAATAATACCCACTACAACAGCCATCATTTGCTTAGAATATCTGCCTCTCTCTTCCCTCAGGGCAAGGGTGGGTCTGGTCTGATGCATATTTCATTTGGGGAATTTAACAATGCAGAATAATAGATGGGGCTGCAGCCGATTGTCATGGACAGTTTTAAAATTAGAGGACCGTGATAGCTGACAGGATGGGGTCAGCTGGTGTGTGTCCAGAGTCCTGGACAGAGATCCACTCTACTCCAGTTCACATGGTCGCCAGCCCTCACTCCCATCAAGAGGTGGACTTTCCAGCTGCAGAGGGAATGTGCCAGCATGTTACTGTAGGAGTCACATAAGCGTGCTGGCCTGTGTGGTTCCAAGGCTCAGCTTAATGGTGAAATTGACATATTTGGGGACTTTTCTAGTAGAAATGTAGTGAACTGTTCCTACCATCGAGAGCAAAGAAGTGATAATATTAAATCACATTTTACTTTCGTAGAAAAGTCTTGTTTTTACTTGAACTGCGTGATTTCCACAAGGCAAATAATGTTGAGAAACAGAACATAGCTGAGTAAGACCACGGTTTTCATTAGGCGTCGAATGAGAGGATTAATGCAGAGTTCATGTACAATTGTACATATTTATGGGGTGTTGCGTGATATTTTGATTACTCGTGTATATTAGGGGTAATGATCAAATCAGGGTAATTAATGTCCATCACTGAAAACATTTATCATTTCTTTGTATTGGGAACATACAAAATCCTCTCTTCTAGCTAATTGAAAGTATACAATAAATTATTGTTAACTATCGTCACCCTGCAGTGCTGTAGAGCACTAGATCTTCTTCCTCCTATCTAGCTGTGACTTTGTGTCTTTTAACCCACCTCTCACAATCCCCTCTCCTGCTTACCCTTCCTGTTTAGCTTCCACATGAGTGAGAACACGTGGTATTTGTCTTTCTGTGTCTGGTTTATTTCACGTAACATAATGTCCTCCAGGCTCATCCGTGTTGCCTGAAGGATGGGATTTTATTCTTTTATGGCTGACTAGTATTCCATTGTCTGCATATACCATATTTTCTTTAGTCATTTATCCACTGATAGACACATAGGTTATTTCATATTTTGGCTATTGTGAATAAACATAGAGATAATAACATAGAGATAAAAACATAGATGTGAATAAACATGGGGATGCAGATGTCTTTTGGGTGTTTTGGTTTTCTTTCCTTTGGATATATACCCAGTGGTGGGATCGATGGATCATATGCTAGTTCTATTTTTAGTTTTAAAAAACATTTTTTAACACTTTCGAAGATTTACTTTGGTGGAGAGCGGCTAAGACTTAGCCTGAAGTCTCGGAAAGGCTAGTTCTGCTGACGCAGGAGGAATTATATGCCGTCATAGAAATAGGAACTGGGCTGTTGTCAGTAAGAGGAATTGGCTCCTTTTGGGGATTATTCAAAAGATACCTGAGCTCTGTCCATCCTTGGGACCTACGTCAGTCAAGGCTTAGGAATAAGGGGTATTCTAGGGAAAGACTGCTTTTTAAAAATTACTATTTGAAGCTTGCCTCTAGTGGTTTTTATAAACCATTTTTTGTAGTTTCCTGAGCCATAGATTTCTGGCAAATGAACATGGTTCTTTCAAGCTCTAGAATTAGACTAGTGTCTAAAGGCAAACGGCATTTCTCACCCAGGAGCCAGAGAGAGATCTGACACACAAAACCTTCTGTCTGTTCACAACATCTTCAGCCACTGAAAAAGGTGCATTGTTCCTGCTGGGGTTTCCTAAACTAATTTGATAAAATATTTCTTTGTCTTGTCTATTATATTTGGAGTTTTTCTCATGAGGGAAAATGCAGATTTTCCCTTGAGGGCAAAGGAGGAAGGGCTGTAGAATTGAAGAGTTGTTCTCTACTGTCAAAGAGTCTTTATCTTCTCTACAGCACCTCATGATGTGGTGTGTGAAACCCACCCAGACAACGAGCCAGGAAGTCCCAGTGGAAGTTTTAAAATCAAAGAAGTCATCTGCATACTTCCTGTCCTGAAAATACGCAACATTTGTGGGGTTTTAAGAGGCACCTTGTTTTTCCATTTTTCTAGGCCTGAGCTTAGATCTTCAGTAAATTAAAAATTCAAATCGTGTCTCTCCTGGTTAATGCCAAAGTCCTCAGCTATGAAAAGCATGTGATGACGTCTTTCTATAGTGTCTGGCTACGGAAAGGGCTACTGCGAGGTTAAGGCTAACGCTGATGTCATGAATCCTACTCACAGCGCCAACAATCGTGTCTCTCCTGGTTAATGCCAAAGTCCTCAGCTATGAAAAGCATGTGATGACGTCTTCCTATAGTGTCTGGCTACGGAAAGGGCTACTGCGAGGTTAAGGCTAACGCTGATGTCATGAATCCTACTCACAGCGCCAACTGTCTAGCTCTTAGTCCTGTTCGTGATGCCATTTGTAACGCTAGGCGACCGTGCTAGTTGTCACGGCTCTTTTACCTGCCAGCAATCCTGCACCGACTGGGCAGATTGTCGAGCTAGGGCTGGGTCTGGAGCTCCCAGACCCCTCAAGCCCATTCACAGACTGGGTCACAAACCCTTCACACACCAGGCTGGGTCACCATACCCCTTTACACAGGTCTATAAGCTAGGTGATCGGCCACACCATCCTTGGAGGCTGCAGGTCTGGAAAAGCATGGCTGCCCAGGGCAGGTGTCTGAGGCAGTAGAACACCAGCCAAAGTGGTGCCAGTGTGGGTGCACTTACTCCACCCACCCACACAGTGTTTGCTGAACTACGCTGAACCAGCTCTGAGGTAAAGGGAGCCTGACCAAACTGTTCCATCTTGCCAACACATAGGGACTGTGTTTCCCACCACCGCATGATCCTGAGCTGTAAGCTCCTCCACAGCAGGTCCACACGGCTCATGGTCAGAGGTGGAAACAACAAAGCACCCTTGGCTCACCACCTGCCCGACAGTCCCTGCTGAAGTGGAGCTCTGAGTTAGAGAGATGAGGAAAACTGAGTCAGGATGTGCTTACGTTTTCTTCAGGCATTTCCCAAGGAGTGTCTGAGGAGATGCCATCCCACCTGACCTCTGTTCAAGTTAGGAGTCCCGGGTTCATGCCCCAGCAAGCTATGTAACCTTTGGTAAGTCACTTAACCTGTGTTAATTTCCTAATCAGCCAAGTCATAACATCACCCACCCTAATTACCTCAGAGGATTGTGGTGATGGTATAGTAAGATAAGCTGTGGGAAATCTAAAACATGCATGCTCTTCTTTTTCCTGGAGTGGTGAATTACTTTTGAACTTTTGTAAATAGGAATATTGCTGTGATTTAAATTTCCAGTTCTTTTGGCCTAAGAATTTTAACACTTTATAGGTTCTAGATGGGATATTTCTCATTAGGGTCCACTGACCACCTGCATCTGGGTCATCTGGGTTGCTTGTTAAAATGTCAGCACCCCCTCCCCCACACCCTGCCAAATAAATATGTGCCTGCGCGCGCACACACACACACACAGACACACACACAGAATTAGGATCTCTGGGTGTGGGGCCCCAGCATCTGATTTTAATAAATCTCCAGGTGATTCTTACCTTTAAAGCTTGAGGATCAGTGCTCTAAAACACTAAAGATATTAGTCCATTCCAATGTTTTAGATTGTTTTCGGCGGGAGCGCCACTGCACTCCCAAGCGGTGCACTCTCCAGTGCGCCACCAGGCCGGCCCCTGCATGTGCTTTTGTGGGTCGGAAACATTTCTTACCCAGGTGTTCCCTTATATTCAGTCTGTGGTCAACCAAGGAAATCAGTGATTTTTTTAGACAGGCTTAAGGCTTTAGCATGGCATATTTTACTATACCCAAAGTTTCATATTTAAGGAATTGGTAAAGAATTATGTCAGCATTGCAATTATTAGAATTTTAGGTAATAATATCTGAGAAACACCTACTGTGAATACCCTAAGCTTATTGGAATTATCTTTAATGCAACAATATTGAATAGAATCATTCCTGGCTTCCTCAGGTATCATCTTGAGGAGTGCTCAGCCTTGCAAAGGAGGAAGTCCCATCAACAGGCTTGCCTTTTGGTTTGAAATAACATCCTGGCATCTCCTTTGTACCATTTTCTTCAGTGTTGAACTTGGCCAAGCAGCCCTGGGTCATGACATGGCATTTTCTCACGCCCTGCCTTCGCGAATCACCTGGGAAATTTCCTTATCCATTTTTTTTTTTTTTGTCTTTTTTCTGTGTCCGGCAACGGATCGCAACCCTCAGTGTCGCCCCCGTACCAGACCGGGACCAGCAATGGGATCGCAACCCTCGGTGTTGCGCCCGCGCCTCGCTCAGCCAGTGAGCAAGAACCGGTCCGCACGTGGGATCCGAACCCTCGGCGGGAGCGCCACCGCACTTCCCAAGCGGCGCACTAGCGCAGTGCGCCACCGGGCTGGCCCTACATTTGACTTTTAAACTTGTACGTTTTGTGTAATAGTAAGACTGACAAGAATAACACACTGTGTTTCTGGATGGCATTATTGTCTGAATAAGTTGCAATATAAGCAAAATTAGGAGGGCACAGACTTCCTGGTTTCTGACACACCTGTGATGCTTGTCACCCGCATCTGGGGTCCCCCATCTGAGTGTAGTTCCCAACATCAATCCCTGTCTGAGATAATCAGTAGAACCAGAAAAATTTAGAACTATACCAAAAAAACCTTTTCATTGATAATGAAAAGACAAATCAGAAATGTTCACTTGAAAAATATTTGGGCTGTAAAATCAGAAAATTCAGGGG